CATCTTCCCCTTTTTTGCCTAAATCCCAATGAATCAGGAAAATAAATTCTTACCTTTAGCATCTGGAGAAAGTTTTTGAGTGAGAACAACAGCCTTAAATGTGTCTGCACCTATTTTCAGGAAATATCCTTCTTCACAGCCCATATACAGATCAGAATCTGGAGTCCAGCAATGGACAGTAGGGCGAACACAAGGTTGAATATCATCTTTAGGCTACCATTACAAAGGAAGTTTCAATTACAAAAATTAAGAATACACAAATTGCAAACTATATATATTACACACACACACACACACACACACACACAATTATATACACACATGATTCTATAATATTTTTTTTTAATCTGCTTTCAATCGTGTCTGATTTTACGGAGACTGCCTGGACAAGTCCCTGCAGTTTTCCTGGCAAGGTTTTTTTGGAAGTGGTTTGCCATTGCCTCCTTCCTAGGGCGGAGCCCAGTTGGCGGTCACAGGAAATCAAGTCTCTTCTATTGCATTACATCCAGCAACCGGCAACCGATTCCTGTTTTTCCGTGCAAGGTGCTGCCAGCGTTTTTCTTCCCACCAGGGTGAGAGTACCTATTTATCTACTTGCTTATGCTTTTGAGTTGCTAGGTGGGCAGGAGCTAAGGGCGCAAGAAGGGAGCTCACCCTGCCACATGGAACTTGGGCTCAAACCGCTGAAGTGTCAACCATTTCTGGCCAGCAACTTCCAGCATCATTAAGCCGCTGCACCACCGCGTCCCCTGCTTCTATAATTTAATTTTATTCAAATATTTATAAGAATATGTGCATTATATAGAGTGTATATAATACACGTCTTTATCAGAAGTAAACCTTCATATAAATTATTACACAGACTCTAGACAGTTCTTACATACTCTTAAATTAGGATTAATGCCCCTAGAACTGCAGAGCTGAAAAGATGATACTTCATTGGGAACTTAATGATTGGTTGCTCTGTGCTAGTTCCCATTAATCTCCGCTGGCTAATCTTGTGCTTTGAGTTTTTGTAGGGTGGGGGATAAGAGGATAGTGCAAAGAGGCACTGTAGGGCACATTGTTAGGATTCCCTCAAGCCTGTTGATAACTCTGCATTCTATTTTTTAAAAATATTGTGTTAATTATATCATAATCTTACTTTTAAATTTCTGTTTTTCCTTGCTATTCTCCCATCTCCCTTGAACATTTAGAAAATAATTATCTCAACCTAGTTTTGAAAGCAGAGGTCCATACAAACAAAACAGAGAGAGATTAGCCGGAGGGCTTTAGCTATTACTAAGGCCTGGTTCACAAACTTAACTAAATAATTTGCTTAACCATGAGTTATTGAGTATATACAATTGGATGGGTTCATACATTATTGTACCCTAGGTGTCTGGGTTCATCCAACATGCTAAAGCTGAGCTAAACTTCTGGTTACATGATAGACATGTCTATACAGTTTTCTTGAAAATAGTACAGGTTTCTTATTGGCTTCTTTTAGGATATTTTTTTCAATTTCCCAATGAAAACCTCGGCCCTGGGATTTCCTGGCAGTCTTCATCTAAGTATTAACCAGGTTCAACATGCTTTTTTTAAGTTCAGCCAAGGTCACTAGGTGGTGGCACCTAGTGTGACCAAAATGCTAAGCCAAAAAAACCAACCCCTTTTATAGATTATTATAATGAATGACCTTAACATTATGAGCCTAGACACATTTGCTACTTACTTACTTACTTACTTACTTACTTATTTATTTATTTATTTATTTTGTTTTTTATGGCTGTCCATCTCACAAATGTGACTCTGGGAAGCTGACAAGGTTTTAAAAAAATATATTTCCTGACTAAAACACAAAATGGCTACAAAAAACACTTGTTGCCTCTTACAGTACTGTCTTTACAGAGTATTGGGAGTTACGTTACTATGCTCATTAGATTAAGATGTTAAAAATCTCAGAAAGCAATGGCAAACCAATTCTATAATGCTGCCAAGAAAATGTCATAAATGTAGCCAGTCAGTCTGTCTGTCTGCTGTGGTCTCAGACCAGTACAAGAAACACGTTCATAAGTGGTCTATAAACACCTACAATTGTCCAGCTTAAGAAACCAGTAAATAAAAATTCATTACCAAAGTTGAAATACATCTATAAAGTGGCTTGACTTGGACTCATAAGTACAATCAAAGAAAAGTAATCTAAATCCAAGGTGTAAATGTGATAATATCTAAGATAAATTTCATAATACCTAAAATTACATAAAATACACATATATAGCAGCAACTTGAGCTATAAAGATACACACAGGCATGCACACACAAAAAAAACACCTTTTCATTTTCATTTTAGCATAGTCTAACAAAGCTAACCTTAAATGTTTCAGCCTCATCTCCTACCAAGCCAGCAATGGCTGAATTGGGTAGCACAGGACCAAAATAAGGATCACTGACATTGGGATGGGACAAGAAGCTATTTTCCTCATCTGTTAAGGATCCATCTTCACCAGGAAGTTTGACAGGACTGAAACAGTAAGGAAAATAGTTTGGAAGAAGGATTCTTTAAACATGAGTTAAAACATGAACATTTGTTTTCAGTATTAGATAATCACCTTATTTATAAAGCATATTTCTATAATATGTGAAGTACAACAGAATATTTATACTGTATAATCTACAATAAAACATATATTTCATACTGTATATTCCACTAAGAGACATGGACTATATAGTTGCTTTCCAAAGACTACAGATTCCTATCAGAAAGCTTGTTCTATGTTTTCTAGCGTATCTTTTTTTGTTTTTAACATAAAATTATAATACTTACTTTGAAATCAAGATGTGCTCTTTGTTACTCCTTTCAATACTCCAAAGGGTAACAGAGGTCCCATTAAATAAACACAACTGATGCCAACTCATGGGATTAAAACTCATTGCAGTTACTTCTACCCCAGGTTGTGACTGACTACATAATAGAATTTTGTTCTGCCAATTCCTAATTAAAAGTGAAAGAAAGCAAATGCTTATTTGTTGTATTTGAAAAAGCATTCTGTCAATATATATTTTATCTCCAAAAATCCAGAAGTTATCCTAATGGTCAAAACAACAAAACAACATATAAATAAAACAAAAAGCAATAATCAAATTACACCTTGCAATATAGTATCAGTGGACAACAATTAAAATAGAAAAAGATGAAGCAAATGAAGCTTCAATATTCCTGCTGAACCTAATGAATTTTAGGTCCCTTTGAAAAAATTAACAGGCAAGTGCAGTAATAAATAAACTCAATCAATTTATTCAGAACTATGGCTGGAAAGCCAGTCAGTTGTAAACAGTCTTTTCTTATTTGCAGTTTTTTACATCGTGTTGAGGTTGGCACAACATGGTAGAGTAAAGGGTTGACAATGTTGTGCTTCAGTGATTTTTGGGAACACCACAAGTCTGGTTAGTTTATGGCATGGTGTAATGGTGGAACACAGGAACTTGGTTTATGTATTTATTTAAATAATTTATAGAGCCACCCATCTCACAGCAATGACTCTGGGTAGTGTACAAAGATTAAAACCGCCCAGATTGAGCCACTCAGAGTTGCTGGGAGTCGGGTGGCATACCAATTTGATTAATAAATAAAATTAATTAAAAAACACAAGAACTTATAAGCCATGATGCCCTGGCTAAAACAATCAACGATAAGGATTCATGTGAACTATAGGAATCTGGTAAAAACCATGATGAATATCACGTGTGTCATAACATCATGGAAATGACACACATCAAATTATTTGTCTCTCTAATCCCCCCCCCCCCCATGAAGCCCATGATATGACCATAAATGATGTGATGAGGAAAAACAACAATAGCCTATTAGTTGACAGTGGGTAAAAACTTATCATTTAGACCTAAGTGTTTTTCTTGCAATTAAACAATGAGAAAAATGTTTTCCAGGCCTAAGAGTACAAGCAATCAGTTGGAAAAAATATGCAAAAAAGACATTTTAAGCCAAATGTTTCAAAATCCTAGCTAATCACTCTCACTTGGCTCTTCTTTCATGTGAGAGTAAATAAACTAACCAGGAACTTACCAAAGAGGAAAGGGTTATACTTGAACCTGGATCCTGGTTTTTTGCTCCCTAACAAGCTTAGAACCAGAAACCAACTTCAAACTCTGGCTTGCAGGAATCCAGCTTTCAGTGTAGTCTAAATTTTTCTGCTTTCTATCCTGGTAAATTCCTGGTTAGTTTAATCATTTCACTTGCAGAAAAAACCAAGTAGAAGCTATTGGATGTTATGCATTTGAGCACATTAGTTCATGAATACCACAGAAAGATAGCAATTCTGACCCATTTCTCCATATTAAACACATATAATCAACACTTACCATACTGAAAGGCAAAATTCAGGGAGCGAGGAATAAGTGGCCAGATAGGGACCTGTGTAACTGAATGCAAGCAAGGAGTAGTCTAGGCTGGCCTGCCCTAAAAGTTAAAGTAATATAGACTTTAAACCTTATTAAAATAGGTTTATTTAATATTTTTAATATTAGTAGTTTTTTAAAATTTAAAATAAATTAAATAGACTTAAAAATGTGTTGGTTTACAATATATGATATAGACTGGATGTGTTATTCCAGTCCATAATATATCATGTTGCTCTATTCCCACCCCACCCCAATCACATTATGGTACAGTGTGATGATGTATGAATCATCTCTGAATTAAGCTCATTAAAACCGCTTTAGTACCAGTGTAACATCCTTTTTTTTACCCCCTCAAAAATTTAAAGAAACACCTGAATTATGATCAATTCAAAAATTTATTTTAAAGTTTTAAGGGCAGCCCCACATAGTTTTCCCATCCTTCTTATTTCCAAATCATATACAGTGCCTAAGTTTATTCCTCAGTTTTCAGCAGCTATTACTAGTTTTTCATCTCACTTTCCATTCTGTTCCATCTTTACTGAATTCACACATCATACAATTATTCTTTTAATTCACACATCATGCAATTATTCTTTTACATATTTTATGATTTATCATAATTAGATAGTGCCATCCAACCTGAGGAGCCCAACACCTGGGACTTTACCTTCAGTCACTTTATTATGTCTACCGTATCCTTTGGGGTTTTGTGGTAAATTATAGGAGTGGCTTAACATTGCCTTCTCCTGCATAGTATGAAATGATGCCTTTGCTGTTGTCACTAAAATGATCATCTACCTCCAGCATCTTTCTATATCAGTACTGCCTGCCTGCTTCCTTTAGCTGGGCAGCTGGAAATGACCTTCATGCCTAGGGTGATCTTACTGGGAGTATATATTCTTGGCATACATGCTTGGCATTCTTCACTCATCCTTCCTAGGAACACTCTGCTATCATGATGAGGCAGCACAGCAGTGCATGGGAAAAAATAAAGGACATAAAATATGAATTTTGATCTTCTATTTGACTGAATACTGACATAAGTATATGGCATAATGCTATATATATTAAAGTGCCCTCACACCCACCTTTTAATTTTGCTATTTTCTTTAGTCCTGGAAAAGTATAGATATAGATTGTAGGATTCAACTGCCGGTCAGAAAAAGCAACAATATTCTGGCTTGCATTCACTCCAAAGGCTCCAATACTTCCATACCGACACCGCAAGAATGATCTCTCTCGTGTTTCAATGTTAATAAAGATGATGTAATTGCCACAAGGATAACAAACAGTCCTGTTGTTGACAAATCCAACTTTTCTATTGGTGAATCCTTGTACCCACCTTGGAAAAAAAATATTTTAAATGAAAAGGATTATCTTTCATTATAGAGGACTAATCTCACTTATCAAGACTAGGGGAAGACACCAGATGAAGTGTTTCCTAGTGTTGTTTTTTTTTTTTTTAATGCTCTTGAATCAGTTTTGACTCCTGGTGACTGCCTGGACTAGTCCCTGCTGTTTCCCTGGCACGTTTTTCAGAAGTGATTTGCCATTGCCTTCTTCCTAGGGCTGAGAGAGTGTGTTTGGCCCAAGGTCATCCAGCTGGCTTTGAGCCTAAGGCATGACTACAGCTCACAGTCTCCTGTTTTCTAATCTGGTGCTTTAACCACTACACCAAATTGGCTCTTTCCTAGTGGATAGGTGGGAGATGGGAGTACCAGACCACCTTACCTGTCACCTGAGAAATCTGTATGCGGGCCAAGAAGCAACAGTTAGAAGTGGTCATGGAACAACCGATGGGTTCAAAATAGGGAAAGGTGTACGA